CTCTGCGAAACATTTTTTTCGCATGCCAAATTTTAATGCGCCGAATTTATCGTTAAATATCAAACGCTTTACGGCGACTCGTATTCATATAATGTCGCATAAAAGTTGATTCTCTTTCGTCGAGTTTCAACAGCAGGAAATTAACGTTTCCTTTTAGTCGTGTTTTATGTTATCAAACACATCTCTGACGTTACAAAATGTTATAAAATATACTTTTAGTACTGCGGGATTTCGAATGATCGCCTTCTCTTTTGTACTTAATCCGTTTTTGATGAGAGCGTCGCTGCGAATCGTGCTTTTTGATATTTGCACGTACCTTCCAATTTTAGTTCGAAATTCGAAGAGTGAATTTAGCATGCAGCGATTTTGATGCTGTCAATAGAACTGGCCGTGGGCGTTTAATTTGTGTATTTCATCGAACTTATTGACAGTTAAACAATAGTCAATCTAATAGAAGTTTATCAAATCCAGTACATCTATTTATATTATCGTGTAATTTAAACATAGTTTACGCAAGGAACCTAATAAAGTCCTTTGTAGTTCATGGATAGCTTTCATTGTATCTAAATTGTTCCAGAAAGAGTATAATCGGATCCTTGATGGCTTGACTTTTCAATAATAATGCAACGCAAGGTGACTGATTCAGCGTACCTTTGAGAATGTCTAGTTCCATTTTCTGATGTATAGACCACTGTGGCGTTATACAGAGTGTCCATTATATATGGAATATAGTATATATCTATATCTTGGTAAAGATCGAATGTATACATTTTTCCATATAAAAGTTGTTTAATAGTTTATGTCCCATAATAAGGCAGCATTCAGTTGTTTTTATTTCAGAAAACAAATGAATAGCGAAAAACAATTGAATTTTTTTAATGGCAGTGCACCTTTTCATTAGGCTTATTTTTTTCTCTTTTCGATGATGGAACATGTACTTACCCTAGTGCACCCTAGTACAAGAAATTTTTTTCAAAAAAACTTATTATAATCACATCAATAATATTAATCTAGATATCCGGCGTCAAAATAACACAAATGAATGTATACGTTTGTTATCATTTTATTGCTAATTTCATTTTGTCTTCAAGGTTTAATAAGAAACGTGCACGTTCATTTGTTTTATTTTGATGTAGGATATCTAGATTAATATTATTGATGTGATTATAATAAGTTTGTTTGAACAATTTTCTTGTATTAGGGTACTATCGAAAAGAGAAAAAAAAACCTTTATCAAATGAGCCTGAAAAGATGCACTGCCAATAACAACAATTCAATGATTTTTCGTTACTCCTTTGTTACCTGAAATAAAAACAACTGAATGCTGCCTTATTATGGGAAATAAAGTTCAACAACTTTCATATAGAAAAATGTTGTATACATTCCATTTCCATATTTACCGAGATATACAGGGTGTAGCACCTAAGATCCCTCGGATCATAATTCTTGTACCATAAAAGATACCCAAACGAGCTACCCAGAGGTATAATTTGTTTAGGGGGGTGCTATTTGAATTTTTAAAAAAATATGACATTTAGCGAAGGTCACTCAAAAAGTTCATTTTTTTCGTGTGTTTGTGTGGCTCAGTCCAACAATCATCCGCCTGCGCGATTTAGTTTTTCTCAAAAAAAAATTTGAATAACTGTCAAATTTTGAAGAAAAAAAGTTATAAAAGCGAAATCGTTAAAGTTAGGGGTATAACTTGTTACATAAAAAAAGAAGTACTTTTCAAGTACTCTCCAAATTACTATTAAAGGGGTGTTCTATTTAAAAAAAATGCAAGTTTGATCCGTCACTGGACTACAGCACGCCCCTGGTGACAACAATATTTTAGAAACATACCGGCGGTAATTGTGTATAATTTGCTCTAAGACTTTCTTCGGTATCTTTTATGGTAAATGAGTTATGATCCGAGGGATCTTAGGTGCTACACCCTGTATACTATATTCCATACATAATGGGCACCCTGTATATTCTTAACCTTTTTCTAAATCCTGCTTAGCATATCAACAGTCTACTAAGTTATAATAAACCTCTAACAAATATACAGGGTGGGGGGAATGTTAAAGGACCCTTAAGGCTACAACCTAAAAATATTTTCAACGAAATTGCAATTGTTATACAGGGTGATTTATATTAAAGTTGCATTTTTTAAATGGAACCCCTGTATATTATGACACATTTCGATTCCTTGGTCAATTTTAGTGTGACTTATGTATTACACATGATATCTGAAATGAGTAGTTTAGCCGTCGTTTTTTCAAAAAGTAAATGTCCAGTAAAAATTGAATATCGCAGTTATCATAAAACTTAGAAGGCCGTGACTTTGCAGTGGCACTAACCATGAAATGTACTAACATACGCTGAAGAGCTAAAGTTAAACTTTTTTGTGTGTTAAAAGAAATCACTCCGTCAATTTTCAAAATTTCAGTCAGAGGTAACTTGATTTTTTTAAATGGAACTACGAAGTTTTTTTTATTGCATGAAATGTAAAATTTTATTACCTTTCTAACGTATATATCTCTTACCTATTTTTGTAATTCAACAATTTCTAATAATTCAATGTTTTTGCGATTTTTAAACCCTCTCAGTAATCAGTAGGCCGTTAAAAATTAAGAACACCAATTCAAATGATAAAACATTTACCCCCAATAAAACAAAACAAAAACTCTTGTTTGTCGTAGCCCATTTTGAAAGATAAAATAATGAATTTGCATTTAAACCAATGCGTGAACTTGTAAATAAATCAATTTGAATAGTAAGCAACGAAAGCCATATTAGAAAATATTAACACAAAATAAAATGAAATAACATCTGTCAGTTTAGTTTATTAACATTTACAATTCTGTTGATTGTTGTGTTAGAAAAATGGAATTTGAATAACATATTTTAAACGGTGCTCTTTACTTTAAATTTTTAAGTACTCTTTTTTTGCTCTTCTTCAAAATGTTCTGGTGCACATCGTAGAAGAAATGTGGTTTCAGCACGACGGTGCCCTACCTCATTTTGCTATAAACGTTAAAGAATGGCTGAATCAACAATTTCCTGGGAAGTGTAGTCTTGAACATTTATTTAAATAATTATTTTTCTCTTATATTTATTTAAACTTTTTATTTTGATTTTTTTAAGTTTTTGTTTTATTTTATTTGGAGTAAATTTTTTATAAATTCAATTGTTTATATTTTTAACGGTCTATTAATTACTGAGAGGCTTTGGAAATCGAAAAACACTATGAGTTATTAGAAATTGTTGAATTACAAAAAATATGTAAAAGATAAATATCGACATGCTGATTGTAATAAAATTCTACATTTGATACGATAAAAAAACTTCGTAGTTCAATTTAAAAGCAACTAACAGGGGTGCATCTCCACCACTTTTGTTGCCATTGAGCTGTGGTTGTCCATGGCTTGCTTCCTGTTCGGTGACATGGGCGGTTTATGTCCTCCCTGCTGCTTCCTTGAGCGTTTCGGCGGTCCTGTTCTCCTTTGTTCCCGATCTCGTCCTGCGCCTTTCTATACTCCTCCCTTTTCTTCTCCCCTATCAGAAGTTTCACAGCCCACCATTCAGTTCTCCCGCTTTGCTCTCTGTTCTTTCCTTCTTATTCGCTCCCTCCTCCCTACTCTCGCCCTTACCATTATGTGGTCCATACTCCTACTGTCTTCGTGATGCTTATTTACTTCGATGTGGTCCTTACTATGTGGTCGATCTGTGATTCAGAGTCCTTTTAATTCAATTTAAATTTAGCCTTAATTGTAGGTATCAAGTATCACTTATCTGTACCCCTTTGTTGTCATGTTAGTTGGATATTCCTACACTGTCTTGATCCTCACAATTTAATTAGATCCTCGCGCGTTACTTGTGTCTTGATAAAGACAACTTCCGCTTGAGCTTCGAATATAAGTTGGAATTATGCCTGGACCCGCCTCGCCTTTCAAAATTACGAGTTAAAGAGCTCACTAAGAAGTACGTCTGCACTCGACTCCTTGATAGGTTTAAGAATGGCGTATTTAGAAAAAAATAGAAAATGGTATGTTTCTATTTAAAAAACCAAGATGGCGCCAACTTCCGATTTTTACCGAAGCGTCGCCATCTTGAAATTATTTGATCTCAATTCTAATAGATTTGGGCCTATAAAATCCAAAACAATAATACTCGGCGATTTTCAATAGTAGCGCAGCAGCTTAAATTTCCAGAGTTAAACTAATTACTGGCAAAAACAAGCTTGGAGCCCACATGAAGGTCCTTTAAGTTAATTTCAACGTTACAGCCAAATTAGCGCTTTAAGAGAAATAGAGCTTCAGCCTAAGTAAGAAGCTCCTTCAGTAATTACCCGTTCAACCACTACGCTACATTGAAAACTCGTAACAATAATATATCATCTCTAAAACTATATTACAACATCACTCAGGAAACTACGCCGCTAAAACAATACGCCAAACTTCTCTGCTTTCATACGAGGTAGGTGGGTAGGTAGGTACATTGTCATAAATTAAAATTGAATTTGTAACAACGGGAAGGGTTATTTATTACTCCGTGTAACCACTTTATTGTCGGAATATGCTGAAGTTTCGACATTCTCCGCTTCCGCAGCGAACTCCGTGTCAACGTAAAATGCGAGGTAATTAAGTGCGGAAAAAGTCCTAATCGTCGAATATCCAATAAAAAGTCAAAGTTGAATCTATAAATTACAAAAGCTACGGTGTAACAAAGGCAACAAAAGTTATCCATAATTTTGTTAAAATCCGCATCTCGCTAAACTGAAGGATTCTATTATACTAGGCGAAAACGGCAAACTCCCTCAATGTAAAGTTTCGAAAAAGGAATTAGCAGAATGCTTCCTTTGTTTTAGAAATTTAATATCTTGAAAATGTTTGCGATGGGAAACTTAAAAGTTTGCCAATTATGCATTTTTGCTGGCGTTTGTTGTGCAGGAAAACCTAAAACCACCCCGTGCTGTGTTGCAATTGTTCAGTTATGAATGGGGCAAAACTCGCCGCTCATTTTCGTTCTCTTCCCAGAAACATGAAGAACGAATAAGCTCCCTTCATAACCTAAAATAAACCTCTGAAACCCGATTTGCTCGCTCGCCCCAACTTACCAGCAGAAACGTTCTCATAGTTAACGGACTAAAGCCGCCCACCGTTAATGCAACTGGAGTTCTTGCCCTCTGTATGATGAAGCGCAGCATCTTTTGAAAGTGCAAATCTTGACCCACGAATTCGATTTCGAAGCAGGTATCGCCGATTGCCAACGATTCGTTGATTAGCTCACTTCCCCAGTAGCATACTACGAATTCGATTGTGATCGCCGTATTGGTCAGCGTGAACATTTGGGCAAATTTGAAGTTGAACTCTTGTATCTGAAAAGGAAAATAGATAAAGTGAATCAGATGAGTGTGCATTCTAATGACATCTGTCATTCTTATTTCAAATGCACGTTATAAACTGACATCCGAAACCTATGACAATTCTGTTTCTGTAGAAACTCTCACGACGGTAGAACATAAGGTTGCTATTTTTGACGTCTCTAAATTAAATTGTCAGAAGCTTTACAATGATTTATATGGCTTCTCCTATAAAATAAAGTTTTGTATTATACAAGACGATAAAGGGAAACTAAAGATCTCGTGAAAGTTAATTCACTCGTACAAAAATTAACCTCTATCCTACACCCCCCCCCCCCATCACACTTTCGATTTTTGAAAGTTGCACTTTTCTAATTCACCACGTTTTTGTTTACTTCAATGTTGCAGACTTTTGATTAAAACTTAAAAAAGTTTAAAAATAATAGAATGTCTTTACTTCCATTTATTATACAGGGTCGCTATTAAAAATAGAACCAAAGCTCTCGCGCTCAAACGTTTTGAGAATGAAAGTTAGAACGCTTCTATTTGAAATTATTTCACATATTTTGAGGTTAACCAAAATTTTTGAGTGCGACCGCCATCTTGAATTTTTTAAATGGCAACATAGGCCATGTGTTACATCATTAGCAAGCTTATTTTTTTCACTTTCTTACTGCCTGAATGAGGAATGGTGTTATATTAGAAAATAATGGAGAAAAAATTCTGTCATATTTCTGTTATTTCAACAAATTAAGATTTATTTTTCACGTAAGGCAATAGGTATTTTTTTTCAAAATGAGGAAAGTCTCTAAAATTGAACTTAATCACGGAGATACTGACATCTTTTTTTACAGTTGAGGTATCTTGAGGGAGGACATTACTTTTGACCACGACTGTACATCGCAAATAATAAATCCTATAAAGTGCTTCATTCGTGGGCAAATAATTTATGTTTTCAAATCATACTAATTATTTTAATATTGTACAATATTAGCTAACCGTAAAAATACTTTTAACGGGGTAATTCAAACAGTACCAAGTACTCAGTATCATTGTAATCACAAGATTAATTTTCGTAAATAACCGCTCGGGCCAGTTGGTGTGCAAATCAATAATCGTCAACTATTTTTGCAGATTCTATCGAATTTGCAAGCCGCGAGACTGCCTTCCGTTACCAGTCAACTTCAAAGAAGATTTTCCAGTCAATTCAAAGGGCGCACCCGTCTCCAGATTTGAACGGCTGGTAGGCGTTTTAAAGTAGGTAAGTGAATCTTTATTAAGAATCCTCAGATCCTTTATAGTTTTGTATCGTTGTCGGTCCGTCCGTACGTAAACGTAATCGTAAAACTACTATCAGAGAACTCTTTTTTTTGGATAAAACACCCGTGAAATTTACCCGATAACTCTTTTTAAAAGTGGCCGATAAACCGATAGATAGAGATTGGGTGTACGGGTACTTTGGACATTACGGTAGGGCGTTATTGATTTTCAGGAAGTAAATCGGGAACAGGAAAAACTGTGGGCTTAATATAGTAGAAATCAACATACTCGTACATAGGGATTTACGTATATTGTTTTTCCTTATGTCTACTTTTAAATGACAAAATCGCTTCTGAAGGACGCCTAATTTTATGCAACCAAAATAACTTCTTAAAACAAACAAACATCTGACTGTCATTATTAATTAATTTGCATATTGTTGCTTTTGTTTCACAGAAAATGCTCTTACGTTCCTAGTACCTATCAGACATGTTTACTGCCCAAGCATATACCCACATCAACAGTTGATAGAATTATCAAAAAGATTCGAATTTTGATGCTTTCCAAACAGATTTTTCCTCTAAAATAATTGGGAAACCAATAGTTAACCTCCTTCAAATTTACATGGGATTTCCTATGTTCCGCCTGTCGATGCAATCACACTGTATACATTTCCTGCACATGGTGTCCCATTCTCGACACTCTTCTAGGGTAATGGTTAGTGCTTTCAAAAAAGTACTATAGGCGTCAAGTGATCTTTTTGGTTTAAGATTCAAATGGTAAAATCAAAATTTGAAAATAGAGTGCTCACTTAAAGAGATACAGGGGAGAATAAAAAAATTATCAATTTCAGAATGCCCAATATTTTCTTTATGTTGAATAATCTACCGCTTTGAAAATAAATATACGGTGTCAGGTAAAAAAAAGTTTAATGGAACATCATATATATAAAAGATAGAACATTAAATTCTCTTTTCAAAAATATAGAATAATTAAAAAAAGATTCGAGTCATTCAAATATGATTTACAAAATTAAAATTTTTTAAAATATTTTTGAATAAATATTGATTTTTTTTTAAATGTTTTTAGTAATATACATGTTTGAAACGACAGTTTAATGTGCTATTTTTTAGAATAAAATAAAAATTAACCAAAAGGAGGTCAGGTGGGATAATTTATGTATCTGGCCCCGGGTCATTCTGAAAACAATGATTTATGACACAATATGACTCTTTATTAGCTATGTCAATTAAAGGAATCATCATTTTGACATTTTGTCAACGCCTACTACACAAAATGTTAAAAATTTAATAACAAGCCTTTTTTCTGACTTAAACAATAAACATTTTATTCTTTTTTTTTTCACCAAACCTCAAGTCATTTGAGTGTTCTTAAAATTGTATAGTCCTTTATAGCTTTTAAAATGCTTTAAGAAATTTAAGAAACTTGGTTTTTAAGAAAACGTACCATTTATGTGGCACTTTTTTCAAGAGGTTTTAATCGTGTCCTTACCCCGTTAAGTGTCCTCGCCCCTGCTAATCTAGATCTGAAACTGAATGTTAAGTTGAAGTGCTTTATTCATTTTTAATAACATTACGGGGCATTAACCAATGCTGTAGCAAACTTTCTGGTGCGACATCAAGGCGCCATCAAGTCGATACAGGATTAGCTTAGGATTAGAATACCATTCTCGGAGTCTACAATCCTACTATAGTATTGGTTGGACTCAGTACTACACCTTTCCTATCTTGCGCTAATCCTTTCATTTATTCTATCTACCGTAAGCCTCGGGCGTTCTACACCTCTCTGGTCATCTGACCTACCTTCCATAGCTAGGTGTACCAATCCTCCGTGTCTAAGGGCGTGCTTTAATATTCTGTCTCGTCTTCTCTGTACGGTTTTCCACATTCCCTATCTTCCTGTACTCGCTCTAAAATTGCTTCGTTGGTTACCCTATCCATCCAACTAATCGAATGCTTCTATTCTACTTTTGTCTTCTCTGCCTATCGTCCAGGTTTCTCTCTATATTATGTACCGGGTGACCCAATAAGACTGTTCCTCGGCCATATCTCGAGAACCGTTTGTCATATGACTTAGGGGTAAAAAAAATTATTGGGTAAATCGGCCATGAAGAATCGGTGGAAAATATTTTCAAGTTCTAAAAATGACCAACAGAGGGCGTAACTGTCATCTTTAATTTTACAATTGCATTTAGTTATTTCAAAAACAAAGATGGTGTGGGGCGTTCAATTGTTTTTGCAATAACCTGCTTTAACTTCCTAACCGTTTGACCGATTTTAACAAATTTGGTATGGTTGAAAATAACATTCCTTGGGCAATGAGAATTAAGCAAAATATAGTGAATTTAGTTGAATCCTTCTCCACCAGGGGGCTAGTTTTGACACTATGACCCAAAATCAAAAAAATCAAATGGAATGATATTTCTTTATGAAAAAGTAGCTAAATAACATCTAAAGAGGCCAGTGAAAACCGTTTTTCAAAATCTCGTTCCTAACCTCAAATATTGGGAAAAAGAGATTAATTAATAAATAAAAATGCTTAAATTGTATCTTAAATTTACTTTTTACGTATTTCTGGTATTTGTCGATGGCGCGAAAGTTTGTTTGAAAAAGCACCCTACACTTTTAGGTAGGCTAGGAAAATGAAACAAATGAAACACGATGCATTATAAAATAATAACAGCCGCAATTTATAAATTATTCTGTGTTAGGGTACATTCAGAAAGTGCAGTTTTTTGAATTTGTAATCTTTTCTAAAATGCCGATTTCTTGTTGCCCAAGGAATGCTCTTTTCAACGATACCAAATTTGTTAAAATCGGTCAAACGATTAAGAAGTTAAAGCAGGTTATTGCAAAAACAATTGAACGCCCCACGCCATCTTTGTTTTTGAAATAACTGAGTTTTTGTTTTTACGAAAATGATAGATAAACTGGTTCTCTTTAAAAATGTGAAAAAATAATGTTTAGTTTATTATGCGAAATTTAAAGAAAATGCCATTTTCAAATTTAAGATGGCAGTTATGCTCTCTGGTGGTCATTTTTAGAACTTGAAAATATTTTCCAGCGATTCTTCATAACCGATTTACCCAATAATTTTCTTTACCCCTAACTCATACGACGAACGGTTCCCGAGATATGGGCGAGGAGCAGTCTTATTGGGTCACTCGGTACGTTTTTCTAATTCCTATATTTATCCCGACTCCCGCTTTTTCTCAAATACATTTTTAGCCTGCGACATCCTGGATTTTATATCTTCCTTACTACTTAAATAACAAAATTCCTTTACATGCTTTAAAGTCTCGTTCCCTATTCGGATTTTTTATCTTTTTCCTATCCTCCTTTTTGCTAGAATTGCTATTTCGCTATTATTGTTTCGCCCTAAGCTAAAATCCTGCCTACTCTATTTATAGCTGCTTCAATGTAAAGGTCTGTCTAACCCCCTTCTGCACCGTGACTTCCGCCTCCTCGCCCTTTGTAAATTCCAAAGGAGAATATGATCATTAAATATTATCATAATTTGTACTCGATGTTAAGGGGGGAGGGGGTGTCAAGGAGTGGAAATATAAAAATCATTCTTGTTGGCTTCCGGGCCGAGCGAAGGCAGTTTAAGAACCGAGTTACATAGTAAGGTGCAAATTATTTACAATTAAATTAGAATTTGGGCTCTGTACCAAGAACAAAACAATAACGAAGGGTCATTGCTATGGGCCTATGGAAAAGCATACTCGCATATAA